TGGCTGAGACATCCCATGCCAGGCTGTCCAATCTATGTATAATATATCTTGGTCTGAGCAACTCAGAAAGTGTGGACCCCAGATGAGTAGCCTGGTGAAGGTCAGTCACCAGAGTCCTCCCAGTTGTTTCTGGGAGAATGAGCTTTCCCTCTGGTGTCCTCCATCAACCTGTGGGTTCTAACTGTTTTTGCATTCTCTATCTCCTCTTGGTTGTACCATGGACTCACAGGCAGCACTGAATCGGGGTATGTCATGAAAATATCGGTAGACCTCACTGGCCTTACAGCCACTTGTCGGGCAGTTAGGTCAACAGCCCGGTTCTCTTGCCTCAGAGGAGTCATCTTTATACGTCATCTCAGTGGAGGATATCAACTTATAGAGGAAGCCAACTAGCCTCTAGGAGGGCCAAGATTTTCTCTATTTTTCATGTCATTTTCCCCAATGCTGAGAAGCCCTCTTTCTCTGCTGATCATACTGTGGGTGTACACAGTAGGAAAAGCATCAAAAACTGTCCCTGTATACAGTGATGAACTCCCCCCCCCATCTGAGAGCCTGGGTCAGAAAGATCGGTTCTGCTCTCTGGGCTGAGGGACCCTGTTTAGGCCCAGATTATTTCAGTTAAAGTAACTACTGCAGCTCCCACATACCTGGTTTCATCATCACAGTCAAGGATGAGCATCTAAAGGCCATCATCAGGAAAGAGAGGGTAGAGAGATTTGATGGTGGTGGGTTTCTCAAACTGGACTGGAGAGTGGTCCAGGAGCAGGGCCTGGTTCAGGGCCACACAGGCATTAGACAGCCAGTGTTGTGGCACTCCTCATAGGGTGAATGTCACAAACATCATGCCTCAACAGCATGGTGTGCTGTGAGTTATAAGAGCCTGGCCCAGAGTTAACTTGCTTGTCTGTTTTAATTAGACTAGCGGTAGCTGCCACAGCTCTCAGACAGGTGGGCCATTATGTAACTATAGGGTCCATTTTTTGGACAGGTATGACACAGGGCAGTTCCATGGCCCCAGAGTTTGGGTTACAACCCCTTTTGTAACATCTTTTGTTTCATGGACAAGCAGATGAAAAGGTTTGGGGACACCTGAAGTGTTAGGGCTGGAGCAGAAGTTGGAGTTGTTTTTAGTCTCAAGTGCCTTTTGCTTAGTCTCAGTCTGGATTAAGGAGCCAGAGCCTCACTTTGTGCTGGTGTAGAGAGGCCTTGCTATTTCCACAAACTCTGGTATCCAGAGGTGGCAATACCTAGCTACACCTAGGAAATGTCTGTTAGTCTTTGGAGTTGAGATCTGAAGGGTGATGGCAGCCTCTGAGACAGGCAGGTTCCTTTTGCCTCCCCTCAGCTGGTAGCCAAGATAGGTAGCCTCTGATAAGCAAAGTTGGGCTTTCTTAGCTGACATTCTGTAATCCAGGGTCTGTAACTCCTTGTTGTTGTAGAATATTATTTTAAAGTGTTACTTTTGTTTATGCTCTGGAACATTTATTTAATGATGTAAAGCTGTGTTTGATTAAATAAAATTCACCTGAGGTCAGGAAGCTGGCTGGGTCAGCAACGAGCTGACAGGAAGTTGTAGGGAGAAGCCCAAGCAGAGAAGTGTTTATAAGGAAGGGAGAGAAAAAGCACAAGGACTTGTGCTTGCTGCTCAGCCTCTCTGGAAAGCAGGATTCTACCTCAGCCTTTGAATCTTGAGTTCTTTAGAAGGACAGAGATTTAAATAAGTTTCCTTAGTAACTTTGAAAGAGTCGGTGCCTTTGGGAACAGAATTCCCTCAGGCTTCGGTTCTTGTGGCCTAGCTGCTGCTGAGAGCAGCAGAGTGGAAGTTGTTCAATAGGTAGCTGTAGCTTAAAAGGCTGCAACAATTTACAAAGAAAAACAACAAATTGGTGTCCAATGTTATTTTACACTCTTTTGGCTTTTTTGTACTCTTTGGGGGGTTCCTCCACTCAGCTCCCAAATAAATCACACACAGAGGCTTATTCTTAGGTATGAATGTCTGGCCTTAGCTTGTTTCTAGCCAACTTTTCTTACCTTAAATTAACCTGTCCACCTTTTCCTCTGGGCTTTTATCCCTCTCTTATGTAAACCTTACTTTCATTCTTACTCTGTGAGTGGTTGGCTGGCCCCTGACAGCCTCCTCTCCTCATTCTCTCGGACTCTTCTTCTTCTTTGTTTCTCCTCCTATTTATACTCTGCCTGCCAGCCCCGCCTATCCTTGCTCCTGCCTCGCTATTGAGTGTTCAGCTCTTTATTAGGTGCTTTACACAGGCACAGTAACACAGTGTCACAGAGCTAAACAAATGCAGCATGAACAAAAGTCACACACCTTAAAATAATATTCTATCACACACAATAATATAAATCACACACAATAATTCTAGTTTTAGAGGATAGGATGAGTCATTTACATATTCTAAGAATATGGCCCTAAGAAACCTCTGACAGCAGGGCAGGAGGTTAGGATTTAGTGTCTCATCAAACAGGTTTGGAGAATTTTTGTATCCCTGATGCAACCTGGCCCAGGTAAGTTGCCCTCTGTAACCTCCCTCTGGGTCTGTCTATTTAAAAGCAATAATGGTTAACCCACCTCTGCCAGTGGGAGGCTGAAGAAAGCATCTTTCAGGTCTAAGACAGTGGATACCTGTTTCTCTGGAAGAATCGGACTCATGAGAACCAGAGGTCCCGGGTTTCTTCATAGGCAGGAAAGGTGTATCCCAGGGTGACTGGCAGGGCACCAGGATGCCTGTCTCTCCAAGTCAGGCAGTATGGACTGCAATGTCACTTTTTGTTTCCAGGGTCGTTGAGTGTTGTTTAATTGGAACAAGGGTAGCTGAACTGGTTAGTTCAACTATTATAGGAATTTGGTGTTGGGCCAGTTTTGAGGAGTTGGTTTCTGCCCATACCCCTGGGAATCTTTATTGTAAATCTGAGAGATAGTCCAACTGTATCTTTTGATGAGTGGCAACACTTTCAGCTAGGAGATATTCTTCTGACAGAGGGCAAGACAACAAAATGCTTCGGGGTATCTGTAAGTAATTGTGTCTCATCACAAGAGACGTGATAGTCGCTTTCAGTGTATGAGAAAGGTCTCATCTCTCAGTCAATTTTTTTAAACACCTTTTGAGTTAACTCCAGCAATTGGGACCTATTTATACATTTAGACTTTTTTAACTTTAAAGTTTTTTTTTTTCTAATATCTGGGGACGACTAGGTGACAAAGGAAATCTCTTTAGCAGCTGTCTTTAATACTTCTAAAAAGAACCCAGTGAGAGTTGTTTAAAGTCTGTGTTGAACAGAAGGGAAAATCCATTCCACATAGGCTGCGTTGTCTAGCAGGGTTCTGCTTACCAGGCCCAGGGGCAGTTGCTTTTAGTTTTCCAATTATGCAGATCATTGGTTGAGAAGAACGCACAAACCATGAAAGAGGGAAGAGTAGAACTTACTTTTCCCTTTCCTAGGGCTGCTTGGAGCAGGCAGAGGAACTGAGGAAATGCTCACCTTGGGGGAACTATTCCTCCCTCCCTGTGTGCATCCTGCTTAGATGACAGGGAACTCTGAATGAGCGAGGCCTGGCCCGTCCCCACCTCCACAGAGTCCAGACCTACTCAGACCATAAGGGGAGCCAAGTAGCCAAACAAGCAAGCACTCCAGGAGTGGGACAGGTGAAAGACTTTTTGATGCCTCTGGGTGACCTGGCAGAGCCAAAAGGATTCAGATCCTTAAGAGGCATGGCTCTTAAGCCCTCCCTGGTCGAGAGGGGTCATACCAGGCAAAGCCACTGGTCAATACAGGAAAACAATTGCTAGAAATGTATAGAAAAACAGAGAGAGAGAGTAAAAGCAATGGGGGGGGGGGTGGCCACTTCACACTCATACACCTGAACAGACAGGGGATCCAGTGACATCTCACCTGAATCCCAGACCCTGGGTGGGGCCATGTCCAACCTTACCTATGTATGCAAACAGAAGACACCTTACCCAGATTGCCTCTGGAAGTGGCAAACCAGGCAACTTTCTAATTTGCTTCCTTTTGGGGCGGAAGTGTCAGACTCCTCTGAAGCATCATTAGATAGGCATTGATCAAACGGGGTCCTGGGGACCTGGGACATCACCAGTTTCATATCCCTAAGAGCCCCTTGACCATCTGTTCCGAGGGCATCTGAGAACCCCTGCGTCTTTATCGGTAGAACTTCCAGAAATGTTGTGGGTTATTCACCAGAGAAGACTACTCAGACATGGGCTTAAGCCAATAGAGTGCACGCCTTTAATCCTAGCACTTGGGAGGCAGAGGCAGGCAGATCTCTGAGTTCAAGGCCAGCCTGGTCTACTGAGTAAGTCCCAAGACAGCCAGGGCTACATAGAGAAATAATGAGAAAGAAAGAAAGAGAGAGAGAGGGGGGGGAAGGGGGGGGGAAAGAAAAGAAAAAAAGGAAGGAGAGAAGGAAGGAAGGAAGGAAGGAAGAAAGAAAGAAAGAAAGAAAGAAAGAAAGAAAGAGGAAAGGAAGATACAAAGTCTTTTTTAGCCAGTCATGGCTACACTGGGGTTCCAGTGTAGCCCCAAGCCTTTCTCAGGGTGAGCTTTAAAACATAAAACCCACGTTCTATATTGACATGCTTCAGTTAAAAAGAACAATTAGCCAGAAATGGAACAACAGAAGCCAAACAGTAAGTTTGGTACAGAAACTTCCCCATAACTATAAACTTTGATGGATTAGGTCTTTGTTTTCATTATGGCAAGAGGTGCTGTCTACGTGCTGCGTTTTATGGCCAGAGTGGTATTTCCATTATGAAGTCAGTTGTGTTAAGTTCTGAGGCCCTGTTACATTTCTACCTTAGTTTCTAGAGGATCTCACACTGATCCTGGCTGTCACCAACTAGGCTAGACTGGCTGTCCAGTGAGGGGTCTTTCTGTCTCTACTTCTCCACCACTGGGATTATAGGTCCCTGTGGCCAGTGGTACAGGCTTGCCCCATGCTTCCTGTCCTCTCTTTCCTCTTTCAGATTTCAACCAGAGGAACAGATGCCATCTGGCTGTGCGGGCAGCATGCTTCCTCTCTGGAGAGCACTCCTGGGCACAGGGAGTTTGTGTCCTCTGGGAGGAGTTTGCGGCTGACCTTCCGGGCACACTCTCCTTCCCAGAACAAGATCACACACAGCCACAAAGGTTTCCTGGCTCTCTACCAAGCTGTAGGTGAGGTTCCCTCCTGGAGCCTAGGCAGAGCCCATCCCTGGCCCCTGGCCCCTTGAAGGGCCAAGTGGAAGCGTGAGTGACAGGGGAGGCTCAGGGATTGGGGTTACCTGACCTGACTCCAACCTTGTCCGGTGCTGACCTTGATAGTGAGCAGCCTAGCTAGGAGGCAGTCATTGCTTGGCTGCAGCCATTAATTCCAGGGAAGTGCACCGACCCTGTCTGCAGATCAAAGGGAATCAGAAAGCCAGGGTAGTGAGTGAAATTCTAGATTTTCAAACAGTGACTCACTTTTTTTTGGAAGATAATATTTACACATAATAAATACTTTTTCAATTAAGGTGTGAAAAGTAAGACTTCCTTGGATCTCAGGCCATTGTCTCTGTCACACTTTCCAGAAATGGCCCTGCTTTCATCTGCTGGATGTTCTTCCACATTCCACATCCTTGAAGATACATTGCACCTGTTTGCTGTATAGTGCACAGAATGTCCTGGGGCTACCACTCTTTACGTTCAATGTGCCCTTTTGTGAAGACCTATTTGCTTTTTTTTTTTTTTTAGATTTATTTATTTTTACTATAGAGTATGAGTGTTTTGCTTGCATGTATATCTGTGCACCATGAAGCTACAGAAGCCAACACAGGACGAAAGATCACCTAGAGCTAGAGTCATAAGCTGCCATGTGGGTGCTGGGAACTGAACCTGGATCCTCTGGGATAACGGTAAATGGTCTTTACTGCTGAGCCATCTCTCCAGCCCCAAATTCGGTGCATCTTAAAGGCCATCTCTTGTGAATGTGGTGAGCATTAACCCTTTGTGTTTTTAGTAACATGTAATCTTCTCTTATGGATAGATACTTTCTTGCCACCAACAATGAGGCTGTGTATATCCTTGTATGCACATCTTTGAGCACAGGTGTGAGAATTTCTTTATGGTAAATTCTTAGAAATTTATATGCTAGGCTACAATACATTTGCATTTTTTAAATTTGAAGTTATTTAACTTCCTTCCAGAGAAGTTTTGCTAATTAATACACCCACCATCTACATTTGGAAAGACCAGTTTCTCTACAACTAGCTGTAGTTGGAATTTTCTTTGGGTCACCAACCAGTTCCCAAATAAAGACACGGGGACTTATTAATAAGAATGCTCGACCTTTAGCTTAGGCTTGTCCCACGAGCTCTTTTAGCTTAATTTAACTGGTTTCTACTCATCTATGTTTCACCTAGAGCTTTTTACCTTCCTTTCATTCTGTATGCCCTACTTTCCTACTTCCTCTCTGTCTGTCTGTCTGGTCCCTGTCGTCGCTTTTTCTTTCTTCCCTGAGCCTAAATTCCTCCTCCTATTTACTCTCCCTGCCTGGAAGTCCTGCCTATACCTTCTTCCTCACTATTGGCCATTTAGCTTTTTATTAGACCAATCAGGTACCTTAGACAGGTGATGCAAAACAAGCAATACATCTTTACCTAATTAAACAGATGCAACACATCTTTATTATTAAGCAAATATTCCACAATGTAAACAATACAATGTCCATTTACATAGTTAAAGAAATGCAACACATCTTTGCACAGTTAAACAAATATTCTGCAACAACTTACTTTTCACAGTTGCTTTCAAGCTGTTGGAGTATTAAAAACCTGGTCAGTGGAAACCAGCATGGATTTTGTTGAGTCAATCTTGTGCAGTGACCATACAGTCATGGCTGAGCTTTGCATTGACCATACAGACATAACTGAGCTGTGCACTAACCATACAGACACAACTGAGCTGTGCACTGACCATACAGACACAACTGAGCTGTGCACTGACCATACAGACATGGCTGAGCTGTGCACTGACCATACAGACATAGCCAGAATCATCCCCCAAGTTGCCAGTTTGCAAGTCTCTGTGAGACCCTAAGAGCCGCTGATCCTCTACAGCTGTGAACCAGCCCAATGGAGACTCTGAGGCTGTCACTACACCTGGAGCTGACTGTCCCAGGATTCAGAACCACTGTCAAGATCCCTACTATGAGGCCAAACAAACTGGTGAGTCCCTACCTGCTGAGGAAGTAGTTCCCATCTGTCTTGCTCCAACAAAAAGGTCCGAGGCCTTCTGAGTGCCCATTCTATTAGCTGGACATTCCAAATTCTTGGCTTACTTCTTTGCTGTCCCTCATTCTGCTCCACAGGGACATTCAACTGCCCATCTTTGGGGACTTGGAAGGACAGACAGGATAAGGAACAGGTTCCTCAATGTGTGCCAGGTGAGTAGCTACCTGCCTAGCACTGTTGCAGTGGCCAGATGCCAGCAGGGCTGGGAGGGCTGGGACATAGAAAGCATTGGGATAGAAATGGAGGAGAAGGCAGAAGGCTTCACCTTGTAAGAAAAGGATTTAAAGAGGCCCTAGAAAAGAAAAGGCAAGGAGCGTGTCCCTCATTCTCCAGAGGTCAAGATATGGCTCAGAGAGATGGGGGGCGGGGGATAGCTCTGTGGTAGACCACCTGCCTGAGATACATGAGGTCTTATAGATACATAAGGCCTTGAGTTAAATCCCCAGCAAAACACACACACACACACACACACACACACACACACACACACACACACCATGCCCTGTTAATCACTAGTCTACTTTCTACCTCTATGGATTTGTCCATTCTGAACCTTTCATACAAATGGAACCACAATTTATGAGACTGGTTTCTCTTCTTAGCCCAGTGCTTTCAAGGTCATCCACATTACAACAGCCCATCATTCTTTTGGTGTTTTGTTTTGTTGTGGTGGTGGATGTTGCTGCTGCTGCTGGTGGTGGTAGTGTTTTTGTATTTTGCTTTGTTTTGTTTTGTTTTAGACAATCTCATAAAGCCCAGAATGGTCTTAAACTCCCCAGGATATGTAGCCTGTTTCCCAAATTCTGGGATGACAAGCCTATACCCACATGCCTGGTGAAATCCATATTTTCAAATGAAAGCACTGTCCCCCTAACCAAATGTGACCCACAGAACACTCTAAGGGCAGCCTGGGTTGGGGAAGGATGGCATGGGAGATGTTATAGAGGAGGGAGTGACACAGAAAACAGGCGAAAAGCACTAAAAACAAACTTGGAACCAGAGATAGTCCCATCAGAGCTAAGGAATGGCTCAAAGATGTCTGCGGCAGCAGACGGGAAGGCACTACTGTCCTGCTGTGTCAAGGATTTGTACCCCATGTTGTAAGATTGATTCACTGCTCACATCAGTACTCTGCAGAGTCACACTTGGAGGCCTTCTGGTACCTGGAGCCTCCTCACACCTGAAGCCTCCTGACACCTGGAGCCTTCTGGCACCTGGAGCCTCCTCACACCTGGAGCCTCCTCACACCTGAAGCCTCCTGGCACCTGTAGCCTCCTTATACCTGGTGGCCTCCTCCCACCTGGGAGCCTCCTTGTACCCACCACAGCACCTCACAGGTCTCTAATCTCCTGCAGCTTCTGATTGCTCTTTTCCCTCTCCTCTCTTGCAGTCTGTGGAAGACCAGTCATCCCCATTGCCCAGAACCCAAAGACTTCTGGTTCTTCCCCAGCTAAGCTGGGCAACTTCCCTTGGCAAGCCTTCACCAGTATCTACGGTCGTGGGGGCGGAGCCCTGCTGGGTGACAGATGGATCCTGACGGCTGCCCATACCATCTACCCCAAAGACAGCGTCTATCTCAGAAAGAACAAGAGTGTGGAAGTGTTTCTCGGTCACACAGACGTAGACGAGCTGCTGAAACTGGGGAACCACCCTGTCCGCAGGGTCGTGGTTCACCCAGACTACCGCCAGCACGAGTCCCACAATTTCAACGGGGACATCGCCCTCCTTGAGCTTCAACACAGTGTCCCTCTGGGCCCCAACCTCCTCCCAGTCTGCCTGCCCGACAATGAGACACTCTACCACAGCGGCCTGTGGGGCTATGTCAGCGGGTTTGGTGTGGAGATGGGCTGGTTAACGACAAAGTTGAAATACTCACAGCTGCCTGTAGCTCCCCGGGAGGCCTGTGAGGCCTGGCTCCACCAGAAGCAGAGGACTGAGGTGTTTTCTGACAACATGTTCTGTGCTGGGGACGAGAATCAGGTGAATAGCGTCTGCCAGGGGGACAGTGGCAGCGTCTACGTGGTATGGGACAATCGTACTCTCCACTGGGTGGCCACAGGCATTGTATCCTGGGGCATCGGGTGTGGCAAGGGATACGGCTTCTACACCAAAGTACTCAGCTACGTGGACTGGATCAAGAGGGTGATGGACGGTAAAGACTGACCCCAGGGTCCTGAGCGGTGGACCAGCACTGTGGAGGTCCCAGCCAAGGACGAGCAGAAGTGAGGGTCGGTCCACTTGGGGTCAGGGAACCCTATTTAAGTCACTGATTCATCAACCCACTGCCCAGGAGAAAGCCTCCTCCCCTGAACCTACACCATCCCAAATCAGAAGCCGCACCCGCTGCCTGCTTCTCGCCTTCAGCTTTCCAGGGTTTTGTACCAGGGAAGCCCTGGACATCTAAGCAACCCTTGCTTAGAACATCTTTTTTTCTTGTTCAAGGCAGGATCTCACTCTGTAGCCCAGGCTGGCCTCAAACTCATGGCAATGATCCTGTTTCAGCCACCCAAACACTGGGATTATAAACATCTGCACAGTTAAACTTGGCAGTGTCACCGTGGGCATCTTTTTGAATCCCCGACCTCATCTATTGACAGTTTTGTTTTGTTTTGTTTTGTTTTTCTGCATTTACTTGTGGAACGGCTATCACCTCATTCAGATGGAGTGTGGAGGAAGGGGTTTTAACTGCATTGTATCTCTAAAACATTCCAGAGACCCTTCTGTCGACCTTCAAATGTGCGAAGCAGTTGGCTTCACCACCTATCACAGCTCCTGCATGCAATTACAGTAAAGCTTCCTGCATCTCCTGTGAGCCAAGACTATTGCCTGTTATCTCGACAGATTCTGGCACCGTGCTGGCAAAGGGCGTGTGAGCCTCCATCCGTGTCTCACAATGAGGAAACAGAAGCTCGGAAAGATACAGATGGTAGTTTGTGGAAGTCCACGGCAGGTTCTTGATTGAGGCTGCATTCCTCCCCGCACGCTCTCAGGGATACCTCTCAGCTGCCCTCAAGACCTACCTCATCATCGCCTCCTTCTCCATTGCCAGACTCTGCCCCAGGGAAGGAGCCTTCTCTCACGTTCCTGCTGGCCCTCATCACCAAGGGCACCGCCAGCCTGAGGAGACAGTGAAAAGAAAAAAAATGAAACACAACAGAATAGAGGATGGATACCATGAAAGAGAAGGAACGAAGTGTTGAGAGTAAAGGTGTTCTGTGGTCCAGGGTTAAGTTTATCTTTGAAAAACAGCAGGATCCAAGCTGAGCAAGTAACGCACACCTAAAGTCCCAGGCACTCAGGAGGCTGAGGAAGAAGGATCAGAGCAGCCTGATCTCATCTTAAAAGTTTAAAAAAAAAAAAAAAAATAGCCAGTAGGTGGTGCCATGCCGTTCTAGACCAGCCTGGGCGACAGAGTGAGTTCCAGGGCACCCAGGGCTGCACAGAGAAACCCTGTCTTGAAAATAAATAAATAAGAAAATAAATAAATAAATAAATAGGTGGCAGGATCTAAATATGGTTGATACTGCTTTTTAAACCCTATGCACAGTTCAAAAGACTGTTAAAAAAATGATCTAGGTGCTTGAGAGATGGCTCAGAGGTTAAGAGCACTGGCTGCTCTTCCAGAGGACCCAGGTTCAGAACCAAACCACCAAAAAATGGAAGCTCACAACTGTCTGAGACTCTGGTTCTGGGGTACCCTGCACCTTCTTCAGCCTTCACAGGCATCAGATACACATGGCACACATACATACATGCAGGCAAAACATTCATACACATAAAATACAAACAAATAACAACTTTAAATTTTTGTTTGTTTGTTTGTTTTTGAGGCAGGGTTTCTCTGTGGCTTTGAGGCTGACTTGGAACTAGCTCTTTGTAGACCAGGCTGGTCTCGAACTCACAGAGATCCGCCTGCCTCAGCCTCCTAAGTGCTGGGATAAAAGGCATGTGCCACCAACGCCCGGCTTAAAAATAAATAGGTTTAAAGTAAAAGTATTCTAAAAATACTAAAGAGAAAGTTGCTTTAGGTGGAGAGGTTTTGACTAATTTTCTCTTGTTTTCTACTGGCTAAGTTTCATGTAATAAGCATATACCATCCTTATGATTGAAATTTTTATAAAAATTATATATTTTCTTATTGACAAAGCAAAATATTTACATATATTTGTCTAGATATGTGTAATTGTTTTTAGCTCTATATGCAGACACAGATTTCAATTTTATTTGAAACTTTGAACAGAGTTGAAGTGATTTGGACCTGAAATGGTAAGGTCCAGATTTGGCGATTTTTGGTCGTGTCCACCTGGCATCTTGACAAAATTCAGAATCCCTATGATGGGATTGCTTCAGCTAAATTGCTTTACTGGGGGGCCACCTCCTCTCTACCTGTTGCCTCTGCCTCCACACACACACACACACACACACAGTTCTTAGGATGCCAACAGGCAATTCTCTAGACAAGATTCCCTCTTCCTTGTCTTCTGATCTAGTCACTTTCCTTCTCCCTCTCATTTGTCTTTCCTGACCTGGCAAGACCGTGACTCTTATCATGCTAAACTCATGGACCAACCCTGCCACTGCCATCATGCCTCGGCTCCAACATGCAGATCTGCTGGGGAAACATTCCAGACCTTGGTAGTTCTTATATCTTGTGTGTGCCTGCTCTCCAGCTACATTACAAGATGACTGGTCACTGTCCATTGGGAGACTGGCTCCATCTATGTGAGTCCTTGAAATCCACAGTCTGACCCTTAACATAATCAATCCCATAAGCAAACTAGTAGGGGAGAGTGGCTGGGAGGCCTTTTCTGAGCCCAAGCCTCCACAGAACAAAATGACATAAGGTATATGCTGTAGACATAGGAGTGAGTTTTTTTAATGGGACACTATGTCCTTGTGGACAGTACAGCTGTCTCTGGAACCTGGTTTCCCTTTTCCATCTGAAGCCACACCCTTTGCTTGAAGTGCTGAGCAATTGTATCCCTAAGGACTCAAATTGACCAGATGCCCAGGAAAAGATTTTTTTCCCCTATGTGTTTCCCTTGTCTTCAAGATCTAAGCTCACTGGCAAGCCGGAGTTCCGTGATGGGGGCTGGGGGTGTGAGTAGGGGGAGACTCAAAGTCTAGTGTTGATAGAGTCCTGAGACATAGCAATTCCCCATCGAGGGCTAAATGTCATTCGTGAGCAATGCAGGCCAGGGCCCGGTGGCAACTAAACTCTTCCTCCCCCTCCAGCTAGCCATTCCTGCTCCACAACTCCTAGGCTGAGTAGGAACATGGGATCAACGGGAAAGCATACCCTGATAGCATAGCCTCCATGGCCTGTGATGCCTTTGACGAGGAACCTCGAATAAACCCCAGCTAGCCGCCTCCAGGAAAGTCTCGGAGAAAATGCTAATCAGATTTAGAAACTCCGGAGTCTGGACCTCCAACCAAATGTTTCCTGTCCCTAAAAATTCCGATCCCGTTTCCTCCGCCCTTCCCCGTGTGGGCCACCAGGTGGCACCAGCAACAGGGATTTCAAAATCAAAACTAAAGTGGGAACTCACAATTTTTTTTTGTTTATGCAAATGGTTCATTCCCTACAACATTCCTCCGGGAATGGTCACCCCCCCCCCGGCTGCCACAGTCCTTCCCTCCCCCTTCTCTCCTCTGCATGCCCAATCCCTATTTCAACTTACAGTGCCTGAAGACTGTCAGGAGAGCTGAGGACCCCAAAACAAACTGGCTTTGAGACATGTGAGTACCAAGGGAGGAGCTGGGCATAGGAGGCAAGCATGCTCCCACATTATTAAAAGACTAAGAAAAGGGCAGGACACAGCACTCTCCCTCCCGTAGTTCCCTTCTGCAGGGCACATACACATACAGGGACACGCTACACTCCTCAGCCCCCCTCCCAGGGACCAGACTCTGAGACATGTGCCGCAAAGGCCTCTCTTTCCTTGACTCTGGGCTCATAGCAGGGTAACAGCGAGGGGAGGGAACCCTCTGAATGAGGAGAGAATCCCCTATGTGTGCTTCTCAGACTTCATGAAGGGTTTCTCCCAGACGCCTTTGTTGGAGCCTTAGGAGCCCTAGCAGGGCTGTCTTCACCCTCAGTGAGCTGGTCTGGAGCCAGTCCAATTCCAGGAAGAAAAGAAGATGAAAGAGGAGGGCAGAGGAGTCAGCTTAGGGGTGGGGGGGGGCATGATGGGAGCACAGTGACCTCTGGACTGGACACTGGCCTGGGAGGACACTGATGCAGCAGCTGCAAAGGCTTGCTGCCCTGTTCACAGACCTCTATGTAGTCTAGATGGGCAGTGAGGAATGATGGGCAGTTCAGGCATCCCATCTTTGCCCACAGCAGCCCAAACGGCCAGGGTGCTGCACCCTTACAGACTCACAAACACCCTGCCTCTCTTTAACAGGCAACTCTTCGCCCTCCTTCTGGTGACCCTGTTCTACAGGGTGGGGGGCTCCACCTACACCCCTCAGAAGCTCTACGGAGAGGTGACCTCTCCTCTATATCCCAAGCCTTACCCCAATGACTTTGAGACAACCACTGTGATCATGGTCCCCAGGGGGTACAGGGTGAAGCTCGTCTTCTGGCAGTTTGACGTGGAACCCTCTGAAGGCTGTCTTTATGACTATGTCAAGGTAGGAGTCAAGCGGGAAGGAAGGGAGAGAAGGCTGGGCCACGAGAGACGATGGAAGTCCGTGCTCTAAGCACCCTGGACAATACGCCTGCACCCCATCATTGTGCAGCTCTGTAGAAATGATGGCCTTGAGTCTTTGGTGCCATAAATGGGGTACTTGTGGGTTTTGTGGCCCTCGGTGAGAATCATGGTTGGAGGGAAGGAGGGCTTTGGGGGTTTTGTTTTGTTTTGTTTCCAGGAGATCTCACTATGTATAGAAGTCAGGAGACGGTTAGCTGTAAGACCTTGGGAAATAGCTCTGCCTCAGTTTCCCTGTATGGCTACCTACCTCATCAGTAACGTGAAGGAATTAAACATGTGGCAGGTGGCACTCGGCCTTCCAGGAGGACGAGGATCTCAGTGCCCTCTGCTCTGCACACTTCAAAGGGTTTCTTTCTCGGCCTCGTCTTTCTGTGTCCAGAAAAGACAAAAGGCGGGATTCAAGCAGAAAGAACCTTCGTCCTGCCACACACTGTCATTCTCAGGCATCAGCTCAGAGCTGAGAGAATAATGTGAAGGCTGCACATCTTTCCAGCAAAGAGGATGAAAAGTCCTCAGTGTGGGGGTTGGGGGTGGGGGGCGGCATTGGTGAAGTTAGTGGGAAGACATCTTCTGTGTTTGAGAGACTGACGAGTCTGAGAAGAAAAGCAGTCGAGATGCCAGGCAACGCTGGCCAGTGCCGAGGCTGCCGGGCACCAAGCATACCATCATGTTCAGTTGGGTACATCAGGAGGCAGGGCTGAGTGTGGTTTTTAAACGATGGAGTGGAAAGCAAAACAAAACCCTGGGCGTGGATCGTACTCCGGTGATCCCGATACTAGGGAGACTTGGAATGTTTTAGACCACCTGGGCTACACAAGTTCAAGGCTAGCCACTCTCTCAAAAACACCAAGGAGGGAAAGGAAGGTGAGAAGAGGTGGGGCGGAGAGGAAGAGGAGGAGAAGGACAATGACCAACCCAAGCTCTAGGGGTGAAGGAGTGATAAAGGTACCTAGAGACAAGGATTCCTGGGGGAGGAGGGGACTGGAAGTGGCGGGAATGAGTGAGGTCAGAGCCTTGGGGTGGGGACAGAAAAACGGGATAGATGGCCAAGCCCAGAATAACAGGTGAAGAGCTAGTCAATGGTCGGAATGGGAAGGCAGAAGAATTGCAAGTTCAATCGCAGTCTAGGGCTGGCAAGATGGCTCAGTGGGTAAAGGCACCTGACTCCCAGCGTGACAACCCTGAGTTCAATCCCAAATGCACATAAGGAAGGAAAGAACTGACTCCTACAAGCTGACCTCTGTGCTCCACATGTATGCCCCAACACGAATAGACACACACACACACACACACACACACACACACAGAGAGAGAGAGAGAGAGAGAGAGAGAGAGAGAGATATTAATAAATATCATCAAAGCCAGTCTAGGCTATGTAGTAAGATCCTACTCAAAAAAAAAAAAAAATTAGAGCATGACTGAGATGGACAGGGAAGCATCACCTGGAGATGTCCATAGCACCCAGATCTGACAGATAGTAACATTAGATCACGATTCAATCAGAGGTAAGAGAGAGAGGACCTTGGCTGGCCTGCCACATGGGACCAGGCTCCTCAGCAGGGCTCTCTCTTGTCCTTCCTCCACCAGATTTCTGCTGATAAGAAAACTCTAGGGCGGTTCTGTGGGCAGCTGGACTCTCCCCTGGGGAACCCCCCGGGAGAGAAGGAATTCGTGTCCCAGGGGAACAAGATGCTGTTGACCTTTCACACAGACTTCTCCAATGAAGAGAATGGAACCGTCATGTTCTACAAGGGCTTCAAGGCCTACTACCAGGCTGTGGGTGAGCCGTCCCTGCAGCCAGTGCTTCTTTTGGGCCTCAGTCTCAGGAGTGGGTAGGGGACAAGCTTGAACCCAAAGATGTCAGAAGCGTGGCTCTCCTTAATTCTCTCAGCAATATGGGGTCTGACAACCTGGGCTCTGCTGCCAGCGAGCAGTTCCTAGAGAGTGTTAGGGAGGTATGGAGGCCAGAAGTGGACATTGTCTCCTGGCCTCTGGCACATGACTCTTTGGGAAAGAACCACACAGCAGTCTCTGGAAAGAGGCCCCCATGCCATGCACAACAGTAATGCATCTGATCCCAGAAGTCTCTGGGTAGGAACTTAACCCTTCCCTCTGGAATCCCTTCCAGACATTGACGAATGTGCGCCCCAGTCCAACTCAATGGAAGGTGACTACCAGCCCCAGTGCCAACACCTGTGTCACAACTATGTTGGAGGCTACTTCTGTTCCTGCCGTCCAGGCTATGAGCTTCAGAAAAATGGACAGTCCTGTCAGGGTGAGCCAGAGTGGGGGTGAGGGTGTGGCAAGGACTGAGCAGAGGCTTGCTGGGCCAACCTGAGAGCCCTAATGACCTGTCTGGTTCCTCTCTCATAGCTGAATGCAGCAGTGCGCTGTACACAGAGCCCTCAGGGTATATCTCTAGCCTCGAATACCCACAGCCCTACCCACCGGATCTGCGCTGCAACTCCAGCATCCGGGTAGAGCGGGGCCTCACTCTGCATCTCAAGTTCCTGGATCCTTTTGAAATTGATGACCACCAGCAAGTACACTGTCCCTATGACCAGCTCCAGGTACAGCCATCCTTTACACTCTCCTTCACGTATCCATAGGGCTCCTCGGGTCCCTGCTTCTTCCTGGGTCCTCTGACTGAATGGGATCACACATTGCTGACCAGCATCACAGCTCCCACACAACAGTCAGTGGGTCCTGGGGACGGGGGTGTCCTCATTTACCTGTCCCTGAAAACATACACCGGGTAGGATTCCATCTCTACCACCACCGTTGGCCATGAGGCTGATACCCCAGAGGCCATGTGTAAAAAAGGCACCCTCTGGAGATATAACATCAGTCCTCCCCTCCTCCCATCAGATTTATGCTAATGGGAAGAACTTGGGTGAATTCTGTGGAAGTCAAAAGCCTCCAGACCTTGACACCCGCAGCAATGCAGTGGATCTGGTGTTCTTCACAGATGAGTCAGGGGACAGTCGAGGCTGGAAGCTGCATTACACCACTGAGAGTAAGAGGTTCAGGGTGGAGTGTGGCTTACTGGTAAAGCTCCTGTTTAACACGTGTGAGACCTTGGGTCCAATCTCCAGCACCCCCAAACTAAAATAAGATACCTAAGCACCTCCCTTGCCTGCCAATTAGGAGGGAAAGTGGGGAGAAGGAATGACAAATGGCTCTAATCTGAACATTCCCTCTGGCCTCACCCACAGTCATTAAGTGCCCCCAGCCCAAGACCCTAGATGAGTTCACCATCATCCAGGAACCACAGCCGCAGTACCAGTTCCGGGATTACTTCATTGCCACCTGCAAACAAGGCTACCAGCTCGTGGAGGTAAGAGGCTGGGGCTGACAGGAGAGATGCTCTTGTCGCCCCAGGGGGAACTGAGATAGTCTGATAGACAGTACTGTAGACTCAAATGGGGCTGTTGAGGGTGGAGCTGAAAAGTACCAGTCTGCCTGCTGTCCAATAAATGGAACTGAGGTTCAGGGCCAGCCTGGGTGACTCGATGAGACCTTATCTCAAAGACAAAAGTGAAAAAGAGGGCTGGAGATACAGCTCAATAGTAGAGTTGCCTAGCATGCAGGCGGCCCTAGTTCAGTGCCTGGTGTACCATAGAGAGGAAAAGAATCGACTTTGCCTGCACACTGGAAACACTCAGAAGATTTTTAAGAAACCAATGTCTGGGTTCCCTGCTTGAGAACCTAATTCCATCAAGCTGTAGGGCAGCCTGAGCACTATTTAAAACGACCGCCTGGGGTT